CCTGGTTTTGGTATCAAGGTTATGCTTGCTTCACAAAATGATTTTGGGAAGATTCCATCCCTTTGTATGTTTTGGAATAGTTTGAGTATGATTGCTGTCTGTTCTCTGAATGTTTGGTAGACTTCTCTGGTGAAACCGTCTGGGCCAGGACATTTTGTTGATAATTTTTTTTTTTTTTAATGACCTTTTCAATTTCTTCTTTTGTTATGGATCTGTTCAACTTTTCCACCTCAGTCTGTATTAGTTTAGGTAAGTGATGTGTTTCTAGAAATCTGTCCATTTCTTCCAGATTTTCAAATTTGTTGGACTACAGCTCTTCATAGTATCCTGATATTATCCTTTTTATTTCTGTTGCTTCATCTGTGAGTTGGCTCATTTCATTTCTTACTCATGTTATTTCAATTCTATTCCTCTTTTCTTTTGTTAAATTTGCCAGTGGTTTGTCAGTTTTATTAATCTTTTCAAAAAACCAACTTCTAGCCTTATTGATTTTTTTCTTTTTTCTTTCTATTTTCTGTTTCATTGATTTCTGCTTGAATCTTTATTATTTCCTTTTTTCTGGGGACTGTTGGCTTTTCTTGCTGTTCTTTTCTAATTGTTGGAGATGTTGGTTTAAAGTGTTGATATTGGCTCTTTCTTCTTTTTTTATGTGTGCATTTATTGCTATAAATTGGCCTCTGATCACTGCTTTTGCCATGTCCCAAAGATTTTGATATGTTGTTTTTTCATTCTCATTAGATTCAAGAAATTTTTTAATTTCACTTTTTATTTCTTCTCGTACATAGTCTTTCTTAAGATAGATGTTGTTTATTTTTCATGCATTTGCTCTTTTTCCATTGATCTTCCTATTATTGATTTCTAATTTGATAGCATTATGATCTGAGAAGATGCTTTATGGTATTTCAATGTTTTTAAATTTATTAAGGCTATCTTAATGGACTGACATATGGTCTAGTGTGGAGAAGGTCCCATGTGCACTGGAAAAAATGTATATTGTGCTATTGTTGGGTTAAATGCTCTGTAGATGTCTGCAAGATCAAGTTGGTGAATTTTATTTTTCAGCTCTTCTGCATCTTTGTGGAATTTCTTTCCAGTTGTTCTATATTTCATTGAAAGT